CATCCCTGAGATTTCAATACCCCTCAATCAGTAACCCTAAACCCTAAACCCTAAACCCTAAACCCTAAACCCTAAACCCCTCAGATGAAACGCGGGATGCAAATGATATGCAAGTAAAGCATCCCCTAACCGTTGGATTCTCTGGGAGGCATCCTTGAAGCATACAAAGGATCGGCATACCATGTGAATGAACATCACCTAAAGATTGGAATCCCAGGCGAACCATATACCCCTTAAATCGCACAAGGGAGTACACAGGGCATGCACTTGAACTTCCTGACGATTTGGAGCCTCTGGCAAGATCCCTTAAATCGCGCACAGCAACTACATTTTAATAAGCCCACCCTTTTTTGGTTGGTTACTTTATAAGGAGACCCACAACAAAAAAAGTAAAGGGTACATCTGGGCTACCAAGTAAAAGAACCTCTTAAGAATTGGAGTCTCTGAGTTTAGGGTTTAGGGGTTTGGAATGTTCCCCCTTATACTAACAGTCCTTAATAGGGATTCTAGCACCCCCTATTATCATCCCTAGCAAGGAGCTGCTAGTATAAGGGAGGAACATCCCGAAACCCTAAACCCTAAACCCTAAACCCTAAACCCTAAACCCGAACATCCCAAGTTTAGGCTTTTGGAAGGCATCCCAAAGCTTGCCTCGTCCTGGTGATGTGCACCCTCACGGGGCACCAGCCTCCCGAAGCCAGGTCTTCCAAAACCCTTAAGTAAGGAAGATGCCCTAATCTTAGGGTTTAGGGTTTAGGGTTTAGGGCTTAGGGTTTAGGGCTTAGGGTTTAGGGATTCTCATGACCCCTGAGTATAAATTAGGGCATGTCCCTGAATCAAGGGGTTTTGGAAGATCTGGGCAGCACCCGACAAAGACCAGGGGCTAGGGTTTTGGGGTTTAGGGTTTGTTGGCTGGCGGCTGCCCGTCTCAGAGAAGGAACTAAGGTTAACCTTGGTTAACCTTCCCCTAAACCCTAAACCCTTGGGCTTTGTAAGGATTGTGGGTAGGTGATTCGACGGCTCTCAAATCCAAGATGAAGCCGAACTTCTCCGTCCCCGACATCGAAAAGCCAACATACTATTTTTTGTGTTTGTTAGCATTGGTATTTCTATCATACATGATACATACACGCAGATATGTATGTATGTATGCATGCATGTATGTATGTGAATTTTCCCGCGCCTCCAGTGGATCATTGGCGCCTGGGCTCCAAAAAGCGTCCGGGTTAGGCGCTTGGGACCGATGAGCCCACCCTCCCCCAGGGTCGGCCATCGGCCAGCCGTATGAGGCAGGCCAGGTTCAGGGTTTAGGGTTAAGGGGAAAAGGTTTTGGCGCAGCGATATGAAAGTTAGGTCGGGGTTTCCGAGAATGGGGGTACCCTTTTTGGGGGTCCTTTAAGGGGTCTCTTCTGTTTGGGGTCCAAGTGATTACTGTTACGATCTCATGCCCATGCTGCCTGTCTCATGCCCTACACACGCGATCCTACACCCTAAGCCCTATAACCCTAACCGCCCTAGTTGCTGAGTACCCTGGTCCAAAACAAAAGCTTAACCTTTCAATTACGGTAGGATTATATGCACCCCAAAAGGTTTAAGGCCAAGACTGCCTACTCAGCTACAACAAGGGAATAAGGGCCTACTCAGGGTCCTAAACCCCAAACCCCAAACCCTAAACCCCTAAACGCATGCCAAAGGAACTCCACTCCTCACGCGGTGGGGAGTCAAGCAGTGGCTCGCCGGCCAATCGGCCGCTTCCAAGAGCGACTGGCCGAGTTTGGGGGTTTAGGGTTTAGGGCTAGGGTTTAGGATTTTCAGGGTTTAGGGTCTAGGGTGTTTAGGGTTTAGGGCTTAGGGTTTAGGATTTTTAGGGTTCAGGGTTTAGGGTTTCCGAAGTATCCTTGAATAGGGCCTCAAGCGTACCTTGACTAGGACCTCTAGCGCATCTTCAAGGGTACCTGGAGGGTCGAGGCGGGGGCTGGAGGTTCGAAGAAAGCTCCGCCCTAAACCCTAAACCTTAAACTTGAAACCCTAAACCCTACACCCTAAACCCTAATCCGGACAGATCCGAAAAATGCCGGCGTCTTCGGTCCAATACTCGGAGGTCATTTTCAGGGCTCTGTAGACTCATACTATGTGAACATGTCCCAAAATAGGGGAATAGAATCCCCTTAAAGGGACTAAAAAGGTACAACCCTAAACCCTAAACCTTAAGTTGAACACCCCACCCCACTGCCATCAAACTGCCCCTGCTTTGCTCTGCGCCTGCACAACGCCAGTACATAGCCCGTCGCTGCCTTGGGGGCCGATTTGGCTGAGGTAATCGCTAGTCATTGGATGTTTCCCCCTTATACTACCAGTCCTTAATAGGGATTCTCATTCGTGGTACTAGAATCCCTACTCAGGACTGTTAGCAGAAGGGGAGAACATCCCAATGTTCTACTAAACCCTAAACCCTACACCCTAAACCCTAAACCCTAAACCCTAAAGCCTAAACCCTAAACCCTAAACCCTAAAAAGGCACAATACGGCTCAGCGGCTGCCTTCGGAAGCCCCTTCCATAGCCTTGCTTGACGGAGATGGGATCGGGTTTTGGGTTTTTGAGGCTTCAGGTTTTAGGGCTTAGGGCTTAGGGTTTAGGGCTTAGGGTATTAGGCTAACAATCCTTAATAGGGATTATATAGTACCCCCGCCTAGAATCTCTGTTAAGGACTGTTTATTATAATGGGGGAACTTCCCGATCAGGCTCGGCTTCTGAGAGTTGCTCCTAAAGGAGACTTTAGCTGCGTTGGGGGACTGAAGCATGGAGGTGAGACTGAAATGAATGCGCTGTTTCCAGCTAAGCCCCAAAAACCCTAAACCCTAAACCCTAAACCCTAAACCGGCCCTAAACCCTAAACCCTAAACCCTAAACCCTAAGCCCTAGACCTCTTCTACCTGGATCCCCAAGTCGAGTTTCTTTTTCTTACTCGGCGGTGCCTGTTTTGGGGTTCCTAGTTCTCATACAAGACTCACCAAATTAAGCTAGGCGGAGATAGGTATACGAAATTTTGAAAACCCAGTACCCATATTACAAAAAGGGCACCCTCTTTGGGGTTGGTTTCTTTGCCCCTAAGCCTAATCCCGAAACCCTAGACCCTAAACCCTCAACCCCATGCTTCTTTAGAGGGGAAGCCTATAGAACCCATAAAGGGCCACAGGGTACCACAGGTCCCGCGGTCTCTTTGCTCATCCTGCCTTTGCGCGCTCGTCACCCCAGCGTGTCCCATGCCACTGCTCATCGGCCACATGTGGCCAGCAGTGAAATACCCCTTTTCCTGACCTGCAGCTACGGGAGCCCCTGACTCCCCATCAACACTTTGGGGTTTAGGGTTCAGGGTTTAGGGTTTTGGGGCTTAGGGTTGTGCACAGCGAAGTACTGCAACAATCTAAACCCTAAACCCATTTTAAGCCCTAAACCCTAAACCCTAAACCCTAAACCCTAAACCCTAAACCCTAAACCCTAAACCCTAAACCTAAACCCTAAACCTTAAACCCTAAACCCTAAACCCTGTCTTAGCCTTGTCTGCCAGGTCAGGAACGGTCACAGCTCCAGCTCAAGGCTGCCTGTGTGCACCCCTTCGGAACATACTTGGAAGGCATCCTTTTGCATCCCTAAACCGTAAACCTAAACCCTGAACTTAGGCCCTAAACCCGAAACCCTAAACTCTAAATCCTAGCCACTTGTGGGCTTTTGCGCGAGAGACGGAAGGGCCACGCATGCTCTCTCACTTGAAGGCCTGGGTAATCGTGTTCCAACACCTCCAGGGATGTTTTCTACCTCGTGCACAGCTGGGGCGAATCCCGATTTGAATTGGGTAATATTGGGGGGATAAGTTACCTAATTACACCCCTTTTTTTGAGCCCAGACTGAGAGCATCAGCTGGGAAGCCCCCTAAACCCTAAACCCTAAACCCATGGCATAATGCCCCACTTGGAGGTTCATGGGAAGTTGTAAGTAGGGTTACCATACTTAGAACCCTACTTCTAACCACCCGTGAACCTCCCGAAGCCCTAAACCCTAAACCCTAAACCCAAAACCCAAAACCCAAAACCCTAAACCCTAATCCCTAAGCCCTAAACCCTAAACCCCAAACCCTAGACCCTAGACCCTAGACCCTAAACCCTAGACCCTAGACCCTAAACCCTAAACCCTAAACCCTAAACCCTAAACCCTAAACCCTAAACCCACAGGTCGAGTTAGAGTTTTCGGCTGCGCGATGCGATTCCAGCACCTCGTACAAGATCTTGAGGCCTGGAGTCCGACGATCCTGTGCCTGCACAGGGTTTAGGGTTTAGGGTTTAGGGTTTAGGGTTTAGGGCTAGGGTTTAGGGTTTAGGGTTTAGGGTTTAGGGTTCGGGTTTCAGGTTTCTTGCCGTCTCAACCATTCAAGTGGCCACCAGGTTGTCCCAACTTCAGATCGATGTCAGTTATCCCCACTCAAAACGCCACGAACCCTGTACTGTGCACGATGAGTACACCCTAAACCCTAAACCCTAAACCCTTTTCCCTAAACCCTAAACCCCAAGCCTTGCCAAAGCTACGGAGAAACCTCACAAGCCCCGGGGCGAAGGGGGATTCACGCCACACACATCGGAAAGTCAGGTCTGAACCCCGAAGCTTGGGATGTTCCCCCTTATACTGGGTTTAGGGCCAGTTGAGGGTTTGGCATGCGCTCTCTGCTAGCGGTGCACAGCGCTCCCAGTTTAGGGTTTAGGGTTTAGGGTTTCGGGTTAACAGTCCTTCATTGGAGTGTTTAATTAGGGGGTCTAGAATCCCTAGAAAGGACTGCTGTTGCAGGGGGCACATACCAACCTAAAGCCCTCAAAATGCATAAAGCTCAGCCCGGTTACAGCTTGTTTGCAAGTTGAAGGTTCCCTAGAGAGGGGAAGCCCATCTGATTCCTCTCATGAATCATGAACCTAAATACATTTTAAATACCCCAAACCCCAAACCCCAAACCCTAAACCCTAACTCCCCCAACCAAGGAGGCCTGAAGGATCACCTGGAAGTTCTCTTCCTCTGAGAAGCTCGGATAGTTGCTGGACCACTCGCAGTGGGCATCCCAAATGCGCTGGCGTGCTGCATCATCGTGGTCGTAGCGGTCAAGCACGGTCTTGGTGACCCCTGAGATGCCTCAGATCGTAGTCTTCTGTGAGAGGGTTTACGGTTTTAAGGGTTTAGGGGAGAGGGTTTCATACTAACTTTGAGATGCCGTACGTACTGAGCCATCTGCCTATGCTAGCTCTGGTTTTAGGGCTTAGGGCTCAAAAGTCTGCAGTTTTCGGCTCAGGCCTCGAGGGTTGGTCGAAACCACGGCAAGGGCCGAATCTCAGAACCTTCCAACCATACACCCTAAACCCTAAACTCTAATTTGGGGTTTAGGGTTGCCTTAAGAACCCCCGCAAAAATGAAAATACATGCCCCTATTTTTGGGATGTCCCCCCTTGTACTAACAGTTCTGAATAGGGATTCTAGTACTTTTATTATTGCTCCCTATTAAGGACTGTTGGTATAAGGGGGAACATCCCAACCTACATTGCCCTTATAAGGAAGAATATTGCTATTTTGGGGGGGGAGTTCTTGGGCAACTAGCAGTCTTTCAAGCGCACGATCAGGGACGGAACCAGCTCCACCAGTCACATGCTCGTTCTGGGTGAAGCAGGCGCATGCACTTCTCGAACCTGGCTGTTTGCGCCCTAAACCCTAAACCCCAAACCCCAAACCCCAAGCCCCAAACCCTAAACCCTAAACCCTAAACCCTAAACCTCAGCCCGGAGCCTTCCTTTCTTATAGGGGATCCCTGAAACCTCGCCTCTCGAGCATGGTGAGCCCTGCGAGATCCAAGCTCTTGGGCCCGGCGTCTCTGCAGAACTCGCGGCTGAAGAGGTTGGCGTCCTCTCGCGTGGGTTTAGGGTTTAGGGTTTAGGGTTTAGGGTTTAGGGTTTAGGGTTTAGGGTTTAGGGTTTAGGGTTTAGGGTTTAGGGTTTAGGGATGTTCCCCCTTGTACTAGCAGTCCTTAATCGGGATTCTAGTTCTCTCTTGGGTTTAGGGCGAAGGCTTGTTTTGGGCACCCGCATAGATGGTCGAACCGCTGAGCAGGTTTAGGGGTTTAGGTTTAGAGTTTAGGGTTTAGGGTTTAGGGCTGGAAGGCTTCTTCTGCTGGGTAGGCTCATCTGCACAAACTTCCTGAGGGATGGGCCGCGCAAATTCGTGACTGATCTTGTCACGATCAAAGTAGATCATGTCTCAGAATTTTTTTAGCCAGGAACTTCCTACAACTAAACCTCAATGCAGTGCAAGCTGCTTTAGAGTCGCACGTCTTGTGTAGACAGTTTTTTGCCGCAACAACAGCAAATCCAGCAATGGCAGCAGCAGATCTCACAAATGATGGCGTTGGTAGAGACCGTTGTTGCCCAACACAGTGGTGGTAAACAACGGCAGGACAAGGAGCATCAGCAGTTTGAGCAACAGTACTTTCTTTGTTGTTGAATGCGAGCCCCTTTAGGGGGAGGGAGGTCTTTCTACCCTATTGCTTTTTTTTTTTTTTTAAGAATTCTTCTTCCTGGCTGATGCTGCTAGTTGCTGACACTATCGGGACTGAGCCTCTCGGAGGCCCCACATGAGAGCTTAGATGCAGTATTCATTCGGCTCTGGGTTCCGAAGCCCGAAGCACGAAAGACCTCAAACCCCAAGCCAAAAGTTTGAACCCACAACCCTAAACCCCCTAAACCCCCTAAACCCCCTAAACCCTAAAAACCTTAAACCCGCCCCTAGACCCCCTAAACCCTACATCCCTAAACCCGAAACACCCCCCCCCCCCCCCCCCCCTCCTAAAGCCCTTTTTGCACCCTAAACCCTAAACCCTAAACCCCAAACCCTAAACCCTAAAAAGTTCTTGAGGGGGGGTTCCATGCGTTGGCTTTCGCCGTCGGTGGTCGTCCAGGTTTGCTGGTGCACTGCTCTCTTTAGGGTTTAGGGTTTAGGGAAATTAAGGTCGGCGTAGGGCTAAGGGTTTCCCTCGGGGGGGATATTATTTAAAGGGTGCCGTACTATCTATGGGGCCCAAACAGGCATTTTAGAACTACTCATGAGCAGAAACCTGTTGCCTGTGCCTGTGCCGTTTAAGTCGCAACATCTCGCAAGCATTGAAGTCCCCCAATCAAGCGACGCAAGAGCATTCTGCATCGTAACCCGGCAGAGTCTACGGAAATTCCCGCGCGTAAAGTCTCCCAGTCCTCTCTGCGCGAGAAGGCGGATGATGCCCCAGCCGAGTCCTGCACTCAGCGGGTTTAAGGTTAATAGGGTTTAGGGTTTAGGGTTTAGGGTTTAGGGTTTAGGGTTTAGGGTTTAGGGTTTAGGGTTTAGGGTTTAGGGTTTAGGGTTCAGGGTTTAGAGCCCCTTCTTTAACTTTGCATTTGCGGGAAACCACTTCATCCCTTCCTACACAAGTGTCCTGCGCATGCTGCGCGACACAAGGGTACCACCCAGAGATTTGCTCCATGGACGGTAGCTCAAGCGCGTAGTCTGGCTGCACGTAGCCTCAGATGAAGACCCACCCCAACACCCAGACACGCCAAGCATCAACCGGCGTGGCCACCATGTGTGTGCACCCAAATGCCAAATACCACTCTACCCCTGGCAGCATGCCCGACCATGAGCATTATGATGGGAACTCGTACTCCAGGCTGCGATCTTATACTTACAAGTCTGACGTCACTGGCGCATGCTGTGAGAGGCTCTGTGCCAAAGAGCTTGCGAAGTAAGTGAGCTCGTCACCCCAGAAGGGCTCCTGCAGAACAGTCTCACGGAAAATATCTCAGCAGGGTCGTCCGATTATGTTGGTTCTTAGGTCTTAGCAACTGCTGTCCTTCTCCTCCTACTCCACCTCTCCTATCCAAGCCCCCACATGCATTCTTTGTGTTGCAGCCAAGACCTACTTGTAGTCATAAGTAGGTCATAAGTAGGGTAACTATACCCTTACTCAGGGCACTTATAGCCCTACTTCTCTTCTAAGAACCCATGAACCTCCAGGTATCGTACAAGCTCGGAATGTTGCGTGTCCTCCGGCTCCATTCTGGTCACCGTGTCAATGCTTCCGCCTCTCTCAACAGACAACGCCCTGCACGCAATGAAGCATATGCACTAGATTCTCGTGCAAGCCTGAGATCACTATGGAACTGCTCAAACAAATCGAGCTCTCGCACTCTGCAGCATGCAGAACCAACCAAAGCATTCCACTAAATCTTCTCAAAGCGACAAGCAGTGCGACATTTGCGGGCAACTACAAAAGAGCAGTGCCCGTCCGGTCAGCAACTGTTGCGTTTGTTTCTGCCGCTGCCGCCATTTATGGTGGAACATGCAAAGGAGCAGGAGGAAGAAACGGGCAATGGCTGCTCTCGATTATTCAACAAACATATATTTGATGCGCCTGTGAAAGCTACGCATCAGCGTAACTTTATGTAACTTTCCGTAACGGGACAGACAAACAGACAGACAGAAAGACATTCAATCTCACCGACAATCCTTCCAGCACCGCACCAAGTACCCGAAAGCTTCTGTCGCATTCAACAATCGATGCCCTGAGCGACTTCACCCTAGTCCGAAACAGGTAGGTACCAGCAACCATGCACCCTGCCTTGAAGCTTGCACGCCCACGGCCCCCGCAAGAGCTGAAGCTTCTTGTAGGGTACGGTGTCCAGGACGTCTGGGCTTCAAGGCTTCTGGGCTCTGCACTTGCGATCACTACAAGGAGGGGCCCCCGAGCTATAAGTAGAGTCATAAGGACCCGAAGTTGGGTTATAAGGATCCTAAATGAGGTTATACGCCCCTTAACTACAGTTAGTATTGCGTGCTTGCTGCGAGGGTATCAGTTGCGCGATAGCCCCCAGAGGACAGTGACCTCGTCCCCCTGTCCTCCCTCGACACCTACCCTTGCATCGTGCACGATGCCATGATGGCATATATAGCTTAATCAAGGAATATTCCTTAAATCATATAGGGATCATTAATACGATTTAAGGTATATTCCTTAATTAAGCTATATTGGGCTCTTTGGCTCTTTAGTAAGGGCTGCAGATCCACATTCCCAAGAAGGTAGGGGTCTTAGAGTCTAGAGAGGGAGCCAAAAGGGGCCAGGGTGAGGGATGCGGCGCAGAGAGGTAGATGGCACCCATGACATTACCACACACCAGGTTGCCCAGTAACCTCGCATTGAAAAAGGGTGCCCTTTTTGGCTTTAAAGGGGCTTCGCCTGCACGATTTCTTCGCGGTCTTACCCTAAACCCTAAACCCTAAACCCTAAACCCTAAACCCTAAACCCTAAACCCTAAACCCTAAACCCTAAACCCTAAACCCTAAACCCTAAACCCTACACGATCGTCCCGGTCGCTTTTCAGGACGTACTGCGGCCCCACGCTCTCCAGCTCCAAGCATGCCTCCTGCACAGTTTTGGTACCAAAGTGGGGAGGCCCAACTAGGGTTTAGGGTTTCTTTTCCCTTGGGTTTAGGGTTTAGGGTTTAGGGTTTGGGGTTTAGGGTTTAGGGTTTAGGGCTACTTGGAGGTTCATGGGTAGTTACAAGTAGGGTTGCAAGTGCCCTAAATAGGGCTAGCAGTTAGAAGTATAGTGACCCTACCTATAACCCTACTTACAACTACCCATGAACCTCCAAGTAGGGTCTTGCAAACAAATGACCGCTGCTGAAAAAGACCTAAGAAGTTAGTGCGCAAGCCGAGGCTTCGGGACAAAAACAAGATAGCAGATGGGATAACCCAAAGAGCCCAATATTGCTTCATTAAGGAATATTCCTTAAATCATATAGGGATCCTTAATATGATTTAAGGAATATTCCTTAATTAAGCAATATTGGGCTCTTTGGGAACAGGAGGAAGCGAGAACACTTGAGGAAACGAATGCTGTCTGCATCAAACGTCTGTGCAAGTCTTCCCCCCTTTGCCGCGTGGCCTGCAACAAGCGCAGCAGACTGGGGACGTACCTGGAATTCGTTGGGGCCGGAACGGGGGGACCTTCAATGCGTGCCACATGTTCATTCCGCTAGGAATCTGGCAGGCCCATGTCTTACAAAACCCGCTCACTAAGGAATAGACCCTCATTTATACTAAGGATATATAGATTATGAACTAGGGTATATTCCAAAGTTACAAGGAGGGGCCCCCTAGCTATAAGTAGAGCTATAAGGACCCTAAATTGGGTTGTAAGGATCCTAAATCAGGTTCTAAGTCCCTTAACTACAGTTAGTACAGTAAGGGGGCCCCTCCTTGTAAGGGTTTAGGGTTTAGGGTTTAAGGGGTTTTGGAAGATCTGGGGGCCGCCAAGCGGTTTCCGGCCAAGGAAAGCTCGCACACTGCAAGCTTTGCTCTGCTTGGAAGGTTTGGGGTTGGGATGTTCCTCCTTATACTAACGGTCCTTAATGGGGTTTATAATAGGGAGTACTATGATCCCGCCTAAACCCTAAACCCTAAACCGTAAACCGTACACGCCCTAAACCCTAAACCCTAGACCCTAGACGTTTAACCCTAAACCCTAAACCCTAATTAAACCCTAAACCCTAAACCCTAAACCCTAACAGTTGTGTAAGGGGGAACATCCCCCAGTTTGAGGTTTAGGAACCAGCTATGAGCCAACACCGACAGATGTGCCCGCGAGGCCCAAGGGCCCAACCCTGAGCTCTCGGCTGAGAGGGTTTAGGGTTTAGGGTTTAGGGTTTAGGGTTTAGGGCTTATCATGGGGTTTTGGCTGAGATTGGCTTTCAATTTTTCTTTTTCATCGGCTTATCGGCGTGCATCTATCCTTGGCCTGCCAGGGTCGGGGCGAGAGTTTTCCTCCCAAGCTTCCCGGGGTCACAATAAGGGGACACTTTTTTGGTTAGTTGCTTAAAAGAAGGGAACCTTGAACCCAAGAAACGGGCTAAAAGCGGCACAACTGGCTACCCAGGACTTTCATCGGCTCCAATCGGCTCGTCGCCTTCTCGCTGCCAGGGAACTTAACAACAATTTGCGAGAACAGCAAAGACAGCCGTGCACTTGGAGGTTCATGGGTAGTTTTTAAGTTGGGCTAGAAGTACCCAAACTAGCGTGAAAAGTATAGTTACCATACTTCTAAGCCTACTTACAAGTACCCATGAACCTCCCGAAACCCTAAACCCTAAACCCTAAACCCTAAACCCTAAACCCTAAACCCTAAACCCTAAACCCTAAACCCTAAACCCTAAACCCTAAACCCCAAAGCAAGCCAGGGTGCCGACTCTGGTGCGCGTGGTTGGCAAACTGGATCTGGGGGAACCTGGGTCGTCAAATGGAGCCCAAAGTTTGATCGTTTAGGGTTTAGGGTTTAGGGTTTAGGGTTTAGGTTTTAGGGTTTAGGGTTTAGGATGTTGGGGCGGTTGTTCTGAGTAGAGCAACCTTTCTTCTTTTTGGGAGGAGGGTGGGGTAGGAGGAGGGGAAGGTGGGAGGGACCTAAGTCAGAAGCCCAGTCGCACCACGTGGGAGGAGTACTTGTCGGGCCGGCAGGACGTCAGAACAACCGGTACAGGATCCTGCTGACATCTTCCAAAACCTTTAGTTGAGGATACCCTAGTTCATAATCATGATCCTTAGAATAAATTAGGGTACGTATATTCCTTAAGTAAGGGATTTTGGAAGATCTGGGTATAACACTCGACCATATAACTCTTCGACGCTGAAAAGCCTCAAACAACCAGGCATGGTTCGCGGTGAGAAGGGTCTCGGGTCAGGTGGACATCCCAACACAAGTGCTACGACCACCACCTGTCCGCGTCTTGGGCTGGTTTAGGGTTTAGGGTTTAGGGTTTAGGGTTTAGGGTTTAGGGTTTAGGGTTTTGGGATGCAACTCGAGCATACCTGTGCAGCCTGATGTGTGTATGGGTATGGCCCGTGCGTTCTTCAACTGGACCTGAAACACAGCACAAGTGCAACCATTGTGTGTCATGCCGGGCGTGCCTCGATGTTCCATCCAAGCCGAGCTGCACCAAAGAAATGCCGCACACAGAAGTGCAAGAGTTTCTGAGCTCGGATGTTGCAGGCACTTCGTGTTGTTTAGGGTTTATAGGGTTTAGGGTTTACGGTTGTTGCAATTCGTGTGCAAGACAGGCTTTTTTGATCACACCTCAAGCAAATACCAAGCATGGGATCCTGCGAATGACCCAGATCCTTCCAGCGAATGACCCAGATCCTTCCAAAAACCCCCTTCAGTTAAGGAATATACCCTACTGCATACTAAGGATCATGATGATGAATTCGGGTATGCTCCTCAACTCAGGGGTTTTTGAAAATCTGGGGAGTTCTGGGATCATGGTGGTAGCTCCTCCTGCACAATACGATATCGCTGCATGACAAACAAAGACATCGAAGCGCCACTCCTTTGTCAACAGACCTGAGAGACCTAAACCCCTACAACCCCTAAACCCTATAAGCCCTAAACCCCTGAACCCCTAAACCCTAAAAAGTCCGAGCTTCGCAAATTTCGGCGTGCTTTTGATTGTAGGCCGCATCGCCGTCCAGGTCGAAGTACAAACATCGGGGTCTGCTCTCTTCCAGCACCTGAATGGGGTCGCTCATGGTTTAGGCATTTTTGTGCCACCCGTGCGGCACACACCACGTCGGGCGCCCGTTCCGCAGGGACGATTCGAGGGTTCAGGGTTTAGGGTTAGGGTTTCGGGAGTGTTTAGGGTTTAGGGTTTAGGGGGGTGCTGCAGGATTGCTTGTCCGGGAAACCTACACCAAAGTGTGCCAGGCTGCATCTTCCCAAAAACCCAATGATGATCCGGAGAGGCCCGTCTGCAGAGTATCCCGGTACTATATCCTGATGTCTTGATAGGTAGACCAGGCTGGCACAATCACAACATTCGTTGCCTCATGATCTATCGGGAGTCCGACGCCTCGGAAGTCGCCCCAACTATCTCCCAATCCGAGGGTAAGCTTGCTGTATAGCCGACGGTGCAGTTGTGTGTGTGTGTTTACACAACACCATGCCCCAGAATTCAAGCATGTGTGTCTCTTGCAAGGGTGCCGAAGCCCCCCCCCCCGAAGCCCTTCTTGCAAGCGGGCTTTCTCCCTAAACCCACTTTCGAAGCTGGGACATGCTGAAGCCTCAACCCTACAACCTTATAAACCCTAAACCCTGAACATCCCTGAACACTACAGCCTTTTTTGAGCAACGGACTTTTCATCTTTGGAGGCTGCCGGCAAGCATGCAACCTCTCAGAAGTCACATCACGCAACCCTAAACCCTGAACCCTAAACCCCAAACCGACCCTAAGCCCAGAACTCGAAAGCCCAAACCACAGTTCCAACACCCTAGGCCTCGTTGAAGAGCTGCACA